GGGGGTGCGGGGAAGGTGGAGGGCGGGGCGCGGCTGGGTAGATGGGGCGGGGGGGGAATAAATAATTTAATCCATTATCTACTCTGCGAAGCTCATCAGCGCTGCTGCACAATGGCCACAATGGATTGAATTGCTGATTGCGTTTCTGCGTCCTGCCCGCCAGGACAAAAAAAAAAAAAAAAAAAAAAAGCTCGTGCTCCACTACGCCGTTATAGTCAAGCGTTAGCAAAGAAGGAGAGGAAGATACTATAGAGTGTCTCCCGGCCAAGGTCACACTATAATGCGGCGATCTAATTAAGAGTTTCCTGCCTGGGGTTTCAAGCTCCCTGTTGTGCTCGTAGACACTATTCATTTTGTTGTCCTTCTGTAAAGACACGTCGATACGTCTCAATCTATTTCCCCCCCCCCCATTAAATAGAACTAAAAACCAAATTTTGGCGCTTTTGGCCCAGAGGCAATATCTCGAATCCCGGTTAGGGCGGTTGGCACCTTCCAGTGGACTTTATGTCCCCAAGAATGACGAAAAAAAAAAAAAAATTGCGAACCACTGAGCTAACCAATAGCAAACTGTCTCCCCCGTCCTTACTGTCCAACCTTTCATCATAAGCATTTCACCATCGCCTTATCTCCGCTAGCCTGTCTCCTTGCTTCATCTCCCTGACTCATCTCAACTCTTTTTTTTTTTTTTTTTTTGCTGCCCTCATCTTACGGATGGCCGTCCTGTTGTCTTTCACCTTCACCTCTTCACTGACCTGACCTGAGCACACCTCAAATATCCTCGGAACTATATATCGGAAATATAGGAACTCTGATAGCAACATTGTTCCCCGATTAGTTTTTGGCATTTCTGAATCCTACGCTACTTAGCTACACTTCTCCCTGCTGTAGTGATGGACCGGGTCAACATACGAGGTCAGGCAGGAGGGCTCCGTGGATCTTGATGATGATGGAAGTTAACCTTGGAGCAGAGAGGAATAAAGGTTAGCAGGAGCAAGACAGAATACACGTATGGAAGTGTAAATGAGAATCATCTACCGTAACCATCCAGAGAAATGAATAGTTATGGGTGAGACCCTGCTATGATGTATGTGACCTGAGTGAAAGTTATTTAAAGTAATTAATTCAACGAATTGACATTAAACACATATAAATGAACATATGAACACAATCACGTGTCCTCTGCGTTTAACCCCATCACCCAGTAGGCTGATGTTATGCAAATATACGTATGAAAAAGTGAATGCATTTATAGCTGTATCATTACGCCTCCCGAGCTTAAATTTGCCTGATGGTGTCATTTGTATTGCTAACGGTAATGAGCCATTAGCTTAGTTCCATTTGGCTTTGCACAAGTGCATTAATGAGGCTTGAAGAACCGTTTTCAGGTTCCGTACTTGCTGGTGAAGCGCTCTGAACACTGTGAGCGACACGACGGCGCCATCTGGTGGCCAAAAAAATGAAAAGTAAAACTATCCGGCATTTAATTAGTATTGATCATCACCTCTTTCCTTTGCATTCTAATTGATGAGTTGAACATTCCATTTTGGCACAATGGTCAAGTGTACCTTTAGCAATGCCGAAATATCAAACGAGGGTTGGGGGTCTTTACTTCCTGCCTTCTGCTTCCTGTCCCCAGCAGCCACACTCACTCTGTCAACGATGTCTATTCTGACATCATGCCAGGAAGGAGCCAATGGATGTTGACACAGCCTAAGCAGATCACACATGACAGAAAATAAATTCATGAAGTATATCAAAGACTGAGCTTATCGTATTTCTCAGTACCGTCGACGGTAGGCGAGAGACATAGGTACTTCTAGTTACGTCACACTGTAGGAATGGAATTCCGACTTACCTCGAGGACCCCCTCGATGTTTATTTGCAGTACAGTATGTAAGAAAAGTATGTAAGAAATCATCCTTTTGATCTAAATGTCACAGAAAAAAACTGGCCATCCTTTTTTTTGTATTGTTTCACTTTAAATAAAAAAAAAAATAAAATTCACTAGGACTGGTTTGTGCAAGAAATATTCTTATGAATGGTTGTCAAGGTCCAGCAAAAAAAGCAAAAAAAAAAGAAAATAATACAATCATATATTTAACAAATATACTGTAGTGGGAAAAAACTGTGTGGAAATTCCCTCCCTTTTTTAAGACCTTTGACAAATGTCTTCAAACGTGTCAAGAAATAGAACCCGGTCACGGAGCAGAAACAAACATCTCGCTGATGTAATTAATGAATGAAATGCAACTGACGTTATTTATTTTTACTGAGCGGCGCACGGCAGCTAAACACCAACTGTTCTTTCTGCTCGTCAAAACTCGTAGCAAGGCACAAATAAAACACCTGACCCACCTAAAAAGGTGATTCACGATCAAGGGGAAACACTACCGTTTGTGTATACAGACAGTTAACATGTAATTGTTTTTAAAAAAAAAAAAAAAAAAAAAAGAGGAAAACATATATGGAAAATTCATTTAAGACAATAGGACACCAAAGTAAGAAAACAAACGGTTGTATTTAAGGCACTAGCAGTCAAACCTGTCTCGGTAAGTTTTAAAGTGCAGTCATATGAGTTGCCGTTCCCCAATCAGCACTCTCCATTCCTGCCGGCGAACAATTCATAATTCGATTTCTGGTTTGAAATGCTTGACTCGGATTCATGTACCGGCTAACGCAGGCGCGGACAAGTAGTGCATTTGGTTCTTGAAGCTAAAAATCCTACAGTCTATGTGAAGACTGTTGTAGTCTCCCGACAGGAAACGGTATAATGTGTCAGTTTGCCATACTTACCATTGTTAGAAAACCTCCTAGCTGTTACATTTAACTTAACAAATACGCTAGATCGGCTTGCATTGCGAAGGGACTTTTTCAGTTTTGCCGGCAAAGGTGCAAACATTGTCCACTGGAACCTCGCTGTTTAGCCCTAAAATGACTTATGTTATCATTTCTGAATATGCTCAAGGACATTATCGATCCATCAATCAATTGCTTGGTATCTCTCCTTTTCAGATAGGGAAGGTTTTCGTCCTCGCTGGTTGTATCCAGCCGGTTCAGTTCACTTTCGGGTAAATCTTCTCATAGAAGAAGTTCTGGCCAAGGACTTCAAGTTCTCCCTCCTTTTCCCGCACAGCGTGGGTCCGCACAAACCGGAACTGCTCGAGCGCAAACTCATAAAACTCGTTTTCAATTTTCCAGACGTTGGACTGCTGCAACTTGGCTATCGTTTCCTTAGTGGGAGGCTTTTTCTCGGTGGTCTTTCGTAGATGAGACTTCTTTCCTGAAGTGACACCAAACCATTTGATCAACCTGTTAGCGTGTAACTTGAGGCGACAGAGAACAGAATCGGTCACGAACAATGATAACTCTTATTAGGGAGTATTATAAATAGATGAATAAAATGTGCTGCAATGCTGCCACCTAGTGACTAGGGGCTTGTTAATCGTTGCTAATGCTCTGTTTCTGTGTTATGAAGGAGGTTAGCCAGTTACAGGTATGGGTCGGGGGTGAGGAGGCGTGGTGAAAGCGCGTGTGTGCGTGTGTATGAGGAAAATGGCGATTTTTACCGAGATGACATAATTATGCTAATATCAGCCGATATTATCGGTCGGGCCAAACGTCAGCTTACCGGATTGATGTCGGTATTGACAAGCTGCAATTGGCATCCGACATGAAAAAAAGTTGTATCGAGCAATCCCTGGTTTTGACAAAAGTACCAGTAATACGTTCTTATACCTCAATGTTTAGTTAACGTCTGCTGACACCACAGCATTCAACACTAGCTGCCTCAACTTTGGTCAGCGGGTCGTGTAGCCGTGTCATGTGCCATTTTTACTACCTGTCCTGTAGAGCTGCGTAGCTCCTTTAAAGAACTCTGGCAGCGCTGCTTCTAGGATCCTGATAAAATCTTCTAGTTCCTCGGTCACTCCGACCAGTAGATACTCGTGCACGAGATTGTACTTTGCCTGCTCCAGGGCCCACTGACTGCCTGCCTTCCTGCAATAGAAGAACATGATATACAACCAGATCATCTAGGGCAGGCGTGGGCAAACGGTTTTAGCATAAAGGCTTTTATCATTTTCTACACCATCTATTGGGGAAACATGGGTATTGCAGGGAAAAAGAAGTACAGTAAACCCTTGTTTTTCGCGGGGGTTACGTTCCAAAACGAACCCGTGATAGGCAAAATCCGTGAAGTAGAAATCTTTATTTTTTTTACAATTAAATACTCAGAAAAAGAAGAGAAAGAACGAACAAACCATTTTACAGTCTCAACCATTTGTTTCACAAATAAAGTAAAATAAAAGTACTTTAGAAACGTTTCAACAAATAACTTCTGTAATGTACTGTCAAATAATAATTTTAATCATCAACGTGAACAGAAGGCTTCAAATTGCGGAGATTAGCACCGCCCACCGTGAACGGGAGAAAATTAAAAATGATTATGAAAAAAATACAAATTACCTGGTCTTGTTGCGGGCAGTTGCAACCCTTTTTGAATCCTTATTAAAACTTATTGCTGCTGTCTTCCTTATGTTTTTTTCTTCCTTCTTTATGGAACGAACGGAAGATTCATTAATTCCATAATGCCGACCTACAGCCGCATAGCTTTTACCTTCATTTAGCATGTCCAATAGTTTTACTTTATCACCGATAGACAGCATCTTCCGCTGCCTTTTGGTCCCTACCGCAGGTACTTTTGCCGGTCCAGAGCGTTTTGTCGACATTATGGGGTTTGATAAACTCGAAATTGCAAGAGAATTTGCACGTACGTAATGTCAATTTGGCAAGCTGTTTTACGTACGTGTACATATTAAACCGCAACGTTATTGGCGCACAGGTAGAGAAGAAGCGGAGTGACTTTTTAGCCAATCAGAATGCAGAACACAATGCACGATGCAAATCCGTGAAGTAGCGAAACCGTGAAAAGTAAACCGCGTTATAGCAAGGGATCACTGTATAATGATACTATAAATAAATTATATAATATGGAAAAGTTTGGCGGGCTGCAACAACCCCAAAATGTACGCAGCCGCTCCACGCTACTTTACACCTTTTTGTGTAGGTGTTGTTAGTATTTTTTTTAAATTTTTTTATTTGTACAGTGACAATAAAGACTATTCTATTACTACCATTATTTTGTAGGTGTTGTTAGTATTTTTTTTAAATTTTTTTATTTGTACAGTGACAATAAAGACTATTCTATTCTTACCATTATTTAACTGACTCACCAACACTCTGCGTGGTGTCCACAGAAGAACGGGATCTGCAGCCAGAGTTTCTCCGGAGCACAGTCAGCTCCTCCTGATGACACGCACTCATCAAAGGTCTGAAAGACCGTGAAAATGGTATTTTAGCTCAAAAAGTGCAAGTTCTAAAAAAAGGGTGTAGGGGGGAAAAAAAGTGACCGCCTACCTTTTTGTCCCCTTGTTTTCTTCGACGAAGGCCCGGTCTGTAATCATCCCCATAACGCAGGAAGTAGTAGTAGGACACAAGCCGCTCGATTGGCTCTCGCACGACATTTACGTACAACGGTTTACCTTTTATCCCGTATCTACACAATGAGAGAATACGAGAAGACAATGATGTATGAGCTAAATGGCTCTGAAAAAAAATGCTATGGATCAAAACGAGCCAATCTTGGCTGATGTTTACGCTTATCTGTTGTGCTGTTATCAGATTAGTATTGGTGATACACACTTACTTGGAAAAGTCCAGATAAGCTACATGGCCGTGGTAAAAGCCAGGCTTCATCGTCCGCCATGAGGTGACATTCTTGACAAACCGCACCTGTTATCACAGATAATCAAGATCATTACGAAGCAGATGAACAATGCAACAGGAGAGAAGGAAAAAAAAAGTGACGAAAAGTTTGTTAAAGAGGTTAAGTTCCCCCCCAACCAGATTGGTTCTGGCCTGCATGAAAGTAAACTGCCTCTGGTGCAGCTGACTTACTGGGTATCATTAGGTGGTTAAAATATATTTATATTATATATATGTTATATATTAACGCTTTTATGCATGACGGTCACTACAGTGGACAGCTATTAAAATGTCATTTTCTATGATAAAGAATAGGTTGTGATGGCAGTGTTGCATATAAGCCTCTACAGTGGATGCCTGAGAATCACCCAACACTGCCATACAGTGGTCAGCCTTTGCAACTGCAGAATAATTGTGTCGACATTCGAAAAGAAAATTTGGTGTATAAAAACAGAACCAAATCAGTTCTTATTTTTATGTCTAAAAACACATAAAAACACTTAGTAACATTTTTTTAACTCAGTATATCATGGGTCATGGGTCATGACATCAAAGGGTTAATATATTATCATCATTCCTCTGCCACTGCAATGCCCACATTTTTTTCAAACGGCTTAAAGTATTTCAGCACTTATGACTTTTACATGTCATTTGTTTTAGTTCATTTATCTGCTCCTGACCCCATTATTCAGCTTCACCTTTGGGACACGTGCTCAAAGAAAAAGGTGGTCACGCCCATGTTTGAAAGGTTAAAAAGTGATTTAAAAGTACAACTAAATCATTTACAAACACTTCTTACCTGGTCCTGCAAAGACAAGACTGGGTTGTTTTTGGTTGTATTTATGTGAAGGACGTGAAAGCCATTTTTCCCACACAGGTCGTAGGCTATGTTGGTGAATGATGTGCTCGCAGTCTTGGGCACTCTGTTGTAGATGATGACTGTGTCATCTTTCTCTGCCTGTGTTGAGAATTGCCGTCCAATGTTTTGGCTGTGCCGATGGTCGACTTCGGCAATCTCATGTTTGGATATGGTTTGTTCTTAAAGAGCACAAAAAAAAAAAAAAAAGCAGTGATAGGAGTGAAGCACACAGCATATTCATTTAGAAAGGACAGTTGAGACTTGATAGTCTTTGAGGTTGAACAGAAACACGGTATATGTATATACAGTATATACTGAAATCCTGGGATGAGCAACTTAAATTATTATAACAAAAAGATGACTTCAACAATCCTCAAAAACTATGGAAATCCAGGTCATTAGGTCAGACTGAGCTAATGTTATTTGAACTAAAACATTATTTTTCCTTTACAGTATCAGTCTGACCTAATGACCAGGGGAAGCAGGAGCAGAGTCACACACTCAGAATGTTTGTTTTGAGTGTGAAATACTTCATTTTATTGTTACTTATTAGCATATTTTCTAACAAAAGACAATATTGTTTGTTCTATATACTTGAAGGCTCCTGCGCATTGATTTTTTTTTTTTTTTTGTAAAATACTTGACTACTGTTTTTATGAACATATTTATAAGCACAGTATTGTTTGTTTTTATATACTTTTTTTAGATGTAAAATTGCCTCTCCCGGCACATGCTGGGACATGTTTAAGCACAGTGATCTTAAATTCTCGACTTTCAGTTCTAAACTGTTTTTAATAAAGTATTACATTTAAAAGTACATGTTCTTTTTTGTGTGTTTTTATTGTAGTAACAAATAAGTATCACGAATCATTGAAATTCACAGGTATATATTGACTACTGAAAATCTTTTATCGTGACAACCCTAGTGGCAACTACTAACTTGTTTCTACCCTCTTTTTCAAATAAATAGAAAAACATTATGAAGCATTTATTCTGTAACGTCGGTCTTACCTAGTTTAGCTCGTGCTTCCTCCAGATTCTGAATTTGGTTCTCGATCAGGAGCATTGCTACACCAAATGCCAACACCGCAAGAAGCTGCACCTTCGGCGGCATCGTCGTCCTTAGAAGCCCCATCAATCAATCAATCATTGAATCGACTGATCAATTTCACAAATGAATCATAACGAAGATAATAACGCTGCTCACTGGCTAACTAAGCTAAACCGCTTCCCAGTGACTGTAACTATAATCCATTTCGGGTTCATAAATTAAATATAACTGTGGTTAGTGAGGTTTACCTTCGTCGACGATTACTGGGACTAACAACAACTCCTTGCTCGTCAACAACAACCTCAAATTGGTTAACTTCTATACTAAACATTACAGCGTCACACAAAGATTACCTATGTTAGACAAAGCCCGCGGACATAACATTTTTTAAAGAATGCAAAAAATACATATACTGCATAAAACCAAATTATCTAAGAAAAGAGAATAGAAAATAGAACCAGTAAATAAGTTCGAAACCACAATTGTTCAAAGGGAGTAGCATACTACTTCCGCTGTTAGCCAGTGTCATTCTGTTTACAGAGAAGAATCAACAACTGCTGTTAAAGACCTCTTCCGCCGCCTGTTGGACTGGAGTATATATAGCATATGTGTAGGTCCGACCTACACTCCTTTAAAGATGCATTCATAAAAAGTGGCGTTTTATATTTCAACCGAGTTGAGGTCCGAAAAATACACACGCTGAAAATGAAATGAAATATATAACATATACAACTATCCCCATGAAACGTTTTTCTTCTATAAACACCGGCATTAGCTGTTAGCACTGTGGAGTGCTAACACTGGCACACTCATGCAAATGCAATTTTATTAAAAATAATTTGTCTTTTATATTAACCATATTTAAATTCACAAATCCAAAATTTTAAATAAATTAAAATATTAAACATATTGTGACAAACATAAAATTAAATTTAAATTAAAAATTAAAATAAATTATTTAAATTCACTAGGTCCCTTTGAGACCCTTTTTTTCCCTGAATTTGTAAGTTTGCCCACATACTGTACAATTAAATTAGCGGACTCTAATTTTTATGGTTGTAAATTGATCATGTCAATACACAAATATCAATCCAAAAATGCATAAAAGGGGTACACTGTGTAGGGATAGAAGTGAATAACATGAAATGTAAGACAAATAAGATAAGTTTACTTGAAAATGTAAACTACAAAAACAACATCCTGTGTGTCCTGCGGGAGCTTAAAAAGCATTTAATTGCCTTATGATAAAATTCTTGCTGCTAAGTCCCTTAACCTGATAAATTGAAGGGTTTTTTTTTATTACACAGAACAATGTACAATATTTGTAATTTAAATTAATAAAAAAAAAATATTGCAGAAACATGTATTAATACATTATTACATCGATACAGTTTCCCATTTACAACCGAAACCTTCAAGGTGAACTGTGTTGCTAATGTGGGCCCCCCTGGTTGAAAATGAGTTTGACATCCCTGGTCCACAGTAATTACAAATGATGAGGCGTGATCTGTCTGAGAGGCCATATGTTACGATGATAAAAACTCTCCCCCTCCCTGAGATCAGCAGCTAAAACAGACTGTTACTGGGGTGAGATTGTCCTTGATGAATTTGATAGCACTCTTCCTGCAGCGCTTGGTGTAGATGTCCTGCAGGGAGGGCAGATCGGATCTGACGCACCGTTTGGCTGCTTTGATCACTCTCCACAGGGCTTTACAGCCTTGCGCAGTGCCGTGGCCAAACCAGGATGTAATGCTGGTAGTATGCTGTCAGCAGCAGCAGCTGTGTGGAAGTTAGACCATAGACCTCCCCAGCTGTCTCCAAAGGTGAAGCTGCCGTCTGGCTGTTTTGACCTAAGTGTGTATGTGTGGGTGGACCAGTTGAGACCCAATGTTGGGTGGGTGGGTGGAAACACTTCTGTTTTACTGTTGTATTCCACCATGCCTTTAGCTTTGCTGACGTTTAGCTGGATCTAGCTCTTAACTATTTCCTGTCACGCCCCCTTCAGGACAGAATTTTTTTTACTACCGTGCAACCCCCGCAAATTGAAAAACTAGTAAGAACCTAATAACATATAGTATATTTTTTATCTGTACAAACCACTGTACGAGTTGCTGCCACCTAGTGACTGGAGGCTTGTTTTCAATAGTACAATAGCACAATTTACGGGGGCGTGAAGACATTCATGTCCCCCAAGGGGAGACGTGATAAAAAGTAATTAAGAACCACTGATTTACACCCACTTTTACCAACACTGTCCTCACTGTACTCTCACGTTGCTTAACATTGCAAAGGTTGTTGAGCAATACGTCCACCAGGGGGCACGCCTCCCCGTAATCACCGTGGGGTCTGTGGGACACCATGAGTTTAGAGAGATGAGCACCTAACCTGAGATTTGCAGGGTCAACCAGAGACAATTTTCCCTCTCCATGCAGTATAACTGTAGCACGAGTAGAACTCAACACTAGGGTGCCATCCAGTGGACAGGCGGCATAACAGCTCCTATCACAACACAGCAATATTTATGTTTTGTTGCGTCAATCTCATGTTTAGTTTACTGTAAATAGTTATAATTTATGGATTCACATAGAATAAGAAATTTTGAGACTTAAGTACTTAATTATACAGTGAGTTCCGTCTTTTGACGAGAATCAAGTTAAGTTGCACCAAAGGCACGGAACTCTAAGAAAGGTCGAGGACCCCCTGTTTTTGTCAAGCATTTACAGTAAACATCTCCCATTTTCGTGTTAGACTTGTATACAAATCTAAGTATCACTTTGTCATAGGCAACTCTTGTAGATATAATGTAGATATTTGCTTTAATGGAGTAATTCATTTTTTTAAATTGGGTTGGATTGACCTCAGAGGACACACAGTGGCGCCACATGGTAAAAATATGATAATTGTAAATGTATTCATAAGAGTCGGCCATTTTTTTTTTCCAAGTCTCATATTTCAGTAATGTTATTGTCAAACTATTGCTTCTTAGAATACTAATGTATTATTATAATATGTTATATATTATGGAATATTGCAAACAACTTAGCAAAAGTCTCATTCTTTTCAAAATATATATATAAAAAAACAACAATGTTATTCAGCATAAGTAAAAACATTGTTTATCATTTCAATGTTACTTCATTTAATTAGAAATCTATTCCCAGTCATCACTGAGGTAATCCTTTTTTTGTTCTGACAGCAGTTTAGGGAAATACATGAAAATGCATTCTCACGTAGGAACTGAACGTGCAATCCATTCTCCCAGGATTTCAAGATAAAATGACCAACACGGCCTCTGGGCCAAGTTCAAACAGCAAATTTTTTTAGCAGTCAAAAATAAATATAAATACACCCTTATTTGCAATATAATATGATTGCAGTGACAGTAATAAAAATTCAATCCCGCAAAAAAAAAAAATAAATAAATAAATAAATAAAATAAAACACACATGGCCTAGAATGCCTATTTCTGTTGCTGCAGATTTTGTATCTGTATTCTTCCGGAGTTAAGCCTTTAAGACCCCCCTCGTACAATGAGCCTGACACTACACTGGGCTGTTAAGTACAGAGTGTGGAAATGTACTTTACATTGTGTGACACTTGGCTAGGGTTTGTGCTTGCTCAGCTCTGGATTTTTCATCAAATATCCATTGACTGCTGGGGAGAGTAAGAGACAGATGCCATCTTTGCTGCAGTCGACTGCACTATCACACTGTGGCACGTAGAAATTGTCCTTAAAAACCTCCAAATACTCCAAAGTACCCTCTTTAAATGTTTTTGACAAGATTTTTTTTTAAAAATCCGAATCCTGTTGCAGTAATCTTTGATAAACGTTCCCCTTTCTTATTACTCTACGACCTAGACCGTTAATGTTCGCTCACCTCGACTACACATGCTGCACAAATATATACAAATTGTACATGCATGGGTTTCATATCAGTTTAGTTTTATTCATTCCTGCAAAGTGAGTGTTTTTTTCCACAAACATTCCTCATGAATTTAGTGTTTTTCTAAGCTTAGTTCTTAACAGTATTATTCCCTATTTGTATGTACAATATTTTCCTGACTAGTTGCACCAGCCAAAAAATGCATAATGAAGAAACATATATATACAAGTGGCACCAGTGCCCTCTAGCGGCCTGCAGTGTGAAAATAACAAACATGTAAAATGATGTATTTTAATATATAAGTCGCACCTGAGTATAAGTCGCAAAACCAGCCAAAGGATGAAAAAAAAGTGCGACTTAAAGCAGTAGCAGATACTTGTACACAAGCCTAGAGTGCCCTCTAGTGGCTGTCAGTGTGAAAATAACGAACATGTACATTTTCAGTGGTACAGGAGTAGCAGATACTGGCACACAAGCCTAGAGTGCCCTCTAGTGGCTGTCAGTGTAAAAATAATAAACATGTAAAATTATATATTTTAAGTCGCAAACCCAGCAAAAGGATATAAAAAAAATATGACTTATACTCCAGAATATATGATACATTGTATGCGGCCCCTGAACCAAAATGAGTTCGACACCCCTAGTGTTGCCTAATGACTATATCTCTGCTCGCTAAATAAATCACAATTCATAAAAAAACAAACAAACAAAAAAAAAACCATTCATTTTTTTTAATCGTACATGTAATAACGTAATAATCCGATGCTTATTCTCATTAAAATAAACTGAAAAGAAAGTTAAGGTGCTTCCAAGTTCCAGGTTGCATAGTGATTAAAATAAACTGAAAAGAAAGTTAAGATGCTTCCAAGTTCCAGGTTGCATAGTGACCACGGTTCTCCACCAACTGGTTGGCTGACATATTTAAAAAAAAAAAAAAAAAAAAAAACTGAAAAAAAAAGTAAGAGGCTACCACGGTTCTCCCCCAACTGGTTGACTGACAAATTTAAAAAAAAAAAAAAAAAAAGCACTGAAGTAGTTAAACTTAACTTTAAGATTATTCGTATCAAGGAACCAAAGCATCACGGGCTACAGTACCTCTTTCAACAATTTTGCTGAGACCACGAAGGAGAAAAATTACTCCGACCTTTTAGTTTCACTTCACTCAAAAGCCCCATTACCCCTGGGGCAGAATAACGAAACACTAGAAAGAGGTGTGCTGAAATGATGAAAGGCAGCCACGCCAAATCGCTGAAAATTGTGCATTTACTTTCTTCTTTACCTGTTATGGATATTTTGTGCACTCTTGCTTAGTGAACACTGGAGGGCAGAGTGAGCACACGATGAGAGGAGACCTGACGATAGAAAGAAAAGTCTGATGAGATGAGGTCGTAAGACTCCATTAGGAAATGATGAGCAGGTCAGAAGGGTCACAGGATTAGGTCACACTTCATGCAGCAGATGTAGTAGACCAACGTTATGTTGTGACACGTTTGATAACATTGAAACAGCACGCGTGTAGGCAGTTCAGTGCGTTTGTGTAAGGTTACATACAGTATGTAAGGCAGTCCTTAGGTCTAGTCTGACATGGCTACTACAACTACTAGCACTTTAATAATAATAATAATAATATTAAAAATAATAATAACAAC